CAGTATGATGCTTTCATAGTAGATTCAAAATAGGCAAAACTAAATAATGGTATTTGGGTTATATGCATTGGTCATAAAATGATAAAAGTAAACAAATAATTATTTACACAATTTAATGTAGTAGTTAACTCCTTGGGTGGAGAAGTTTGTGATGGAGAATGGGCACGAGGAGAGCTTCTAGAGTGTTGACAAGATTTTTTTCTTGACTAGAGTGGCAGTTACATGGATATTTGCCTTATAATTATAACTCACTCATGCATGTATGCTTTATGCACTTCTTGGGCTGTGTTACGTTTCACAACTGAAAGAAGAGCAGGGCTTGCAATGTTTTCAATTTAAGCAATAAATTATTTTCTCTATAAAATATCATGGTAACATAATTTCCTTTAATATTTTTAAGGACTGATTCAAAGTCTAGGCTTATCATTTAATTCCACATATAGTAGGTGCTCAGATTTGTAGAACGGATGCATAGCCTGATATGGGAAACAAAGGCAGAAGAAAAATTATTAAATTTCCTTATTACCTACAGTCCATTGACAGATCTTTGAAACAGGCAGAGTGACATTCCTCTAGGGACTCAACTGCTTGGATGTCGATGTCAACACCTTGCTAAGGGCAAAAGGCCCACCTAGCCTGAACCCCCCATCCCCCCGCCCAGGATAATGTAAGTTTACTTTAATGTATAAAAATTCCTTTAGAAACTTCTTTTATCTCTAAATCCCCCAAGATACATGTTGGCAATTATCTGCCAAGCATATGGCCCACTGATATACAACTGAAGGTTCTCATGACTAAGGTTTTATTAGACGGTAATAAATGACCTTCCCCCTCCCCCCCAAAAAATAAATGACCTTTTCCCAACAACAGCTAACCCTTTCAAGGTCCTGGAAACCTTGCTTCCAAAATTCCTTGGAGAGACTTAACGTTATCCCTAAATCCCTCCCAATTTGAAAGTATATAATGAGCCACTCCTCATGACCGTGGTGCAACTCTTTCTGCCCACGGGTCCTGTTCCTGTGCTTTAATAAAATCACCTTTTTGCACAAAAGATGTCTCAAGAATTCTTTCTTGGCCATCGGCTTCAAACCCTAACGTCTTTCCTACATCATAGCCCATGCATATAATCCTTTTCAGTAAGAAGAGTCAGTGTCTTTTTTTCTTCTAGAAATTTCCCCTGTGATTTTAAGTAGCACCTGAGGCATCTTTGCAGACTTGTAAAAGTTGTTGAAAGTACTAGAAACCAGATGAATTAATTCCACTTTTTATGCAGAGGAAGAAAGTGGATTATGCAGGCCTCCGACAAGTATGAGGTGAATTCCAAGCAAGATTCTGGGAAAGTGTTGAAGGTGAGCATATTTGCTTTTAGTACTCTTAACAAAACAGGATGTGAATATTTTCTTATAAAACTGAATACTAAAACAAGGCTTTTTTCCTCCTGAGTACCCAACATGAACTTTTTTCCCCATTGTGATAAGAACTTTGTCATGTCTCAAACAGCTTTGGGCTCAACCTTATCAACTGTGAAAACCTTTGCAGTCTGCATAGTTGGATTTTATTTTCTTCCCCTGGTCGGTTTTCCTATTCTGATTTAAAACTCCTCGGTCCTGCTGAATAGTGCTTATTTGTGCCTTACCATTATGTTGTAGGTTTTCCCTATAAGACACCTCAAATCCTTAATAAAACAAGACAAGGAAGAGAGAGGGAGGCAGGGAATATATACTTGGAAGAGAAAACCTGATGATAAGTTTCAGCATGGTTTTTCTTTAACAAGACATGGTGGACAAATCTAACGCCCTTCTTTAACAGAGGAGTTAGGTTGAACCAATAGATAAGGAGGATAAGGGTTAGAGGTACCTCTGTTTGGGCAAGACCCTACATGAAATGCCATGACACCTTTCTACTCAACATGGAGAAATCTGTAGGAAGAGCCAAGTACCAGGGAGGTTCAGACTGCTGCTAGGCCAAGAACGTGACCCAGAGGAAGCTTCCGAATAACAGGGCTTATGCTCAGTCCCAGGCCCTGGCCCCAGGCTCAGTATCTCCATTAGTGGCTTGAATGGAGACCTCAAAGGTATCCTCATCAAAGTGGCTAATGCAGTGTATTATAATCTGGACAAGGATGGGCTGGGAGTGAAATATACTTGTGTCAAACTCTACCTCTAGTATGTCATCTTGGGTGAGCCGTTGATGAGCCTTAGTTTCATAGCCTATAAAATTAAGATGTAAATAATACTTACCTTTGAGTTTGTTATGAAATTAAAGGCGATCCACAAAGTACCTGGCAAGGAGTAGACACTCAGTAAATGTTGACTATTTTATTGCATAATTAGGATCAGAAAAGATTTGGCAGGCTGGAGATGAATCGGATCTAATAAAATAACACTAGATGGTTTTATTTTATAATTTTGAATTTGGTTTGAACAAATAAAGAATAAATGAACTAAAATAAATTGCAAGAGTCCAGGGAGGAGAAGCTGTGGGAATAGCTCTCTCTACAAACCTGTCTGCACCAGACTCTGACGGTTCATGTTGCACACACCTTTTAGCCAAAACAGATCCTATGAGGAAACTGGGAGATTTTAGGCAAAAGCAACCCCCACTCCCGTGTGTCATTTGTGATCTTGCACTGTCCCCAACAACATGAGCTGGTGGTTTTAATGCTCTAGTAGTCACTACATGGCAACGTTCCAGTGGTTGAGCCCACGATCCTACCCAGTAAGTTACAGACCCCCGCCCCCAGCCAACAAATAGGAAGTATTCCATTTTTCTTAAATCTGTCTCTTGACTGCTTTGAGCATATCTGAGGAAAATTCTGGCCCCCTTTAAAGAAGTAGAACTTATTCTTCCTGAGAACCAGAGATATTTTAGATTCTTCTTGTACCTGGGAAGATTAACAACAGCCCCCAATGCATAAAGAAAAGAATAAAAATAATCTCTTGAATGTCTTTCTTTATGCCTGTAGTGGCTAGGAGGGATAAGAACTTCCCACCAGTTCTCAGGAGAAACATCAAGTTGATTCTTTGGCTCACTAGACTAATCCATTCACTCAACAGAATTTGGTGAGTAGCCACCATGTATCAGGCACCACGTTGGAAACGTAAAAATAAATAACGCTCTCTCTTTTTGGTTCCTCAGCTGGTCATGGCTCAGTCTTGCCAGAGGCCACAGACATCCCTTAAAAAAGTTACTGCTCATACCTGAATTCTGGCTCCAAGTCTCCGAGTTCCTCTTCCCTCCATCCACTGTGCTACCGCATGCTGGTTCTCTGAAATTCCCCACCTGCTTGCTTTTTAACCCCTCACCCATTCTCATCTGATTTATGGCTTAGGCCCAGACTGCTACCGAGGCTCTGAGCCCGAAGCCCACAGAAGGTTGCATCTAGTGGTTGCCTCTCCATTCCGCATGCTGTTCCATAGGCCAGTTGAAGACAGACCTGGGTCATTGCGGGCCCAGCCAGCAGCCTCCCACCCCTTTCCCACCCAGGAAGGGGGAGGGGGCAAACCTTGGGGGATCTGTCCACTTGCCAGGCCCTCCTAGCCCCTGCCCATCCCACAGCCAGCACCACGTGAGGGCCTCTTCGCACACCTCCCAGGACCCCCACGGGCAGAGCGGGTGGTCTCTCTGAACTCCCCCGGGGAAATAATCTATGCAAATGCACAGTCATGTAATGGTGGGGTGAACAGTATTCCGGGACCTGAGCCACACAGAGAACCTGTTGGATCCCCGCTTGTCTTCAACTGCTGTCTGATGGATGACAAGCCTCTGCCCTGCCGCCTTCAAATTCAGCCTTGCCCCTGCTCTTGACATCCCACAGCTTGGCAGCTCGGCTAACTTATGGTCCACACAGCTGGGCCCCCGGATTCCAGGTGACTTCGGCTGTGAGCAAGCCGCAGCTGCATATGCTCCTGCCAGAACTGAGGAGCCCTTCATAGGAGTTCAAACTGTGCCTGCATTTCCCAGCCAGGAACTGTTCTGTCATCAACATAGCTCGTCAAAAATGAGAGTGTTATTCCCCGGGCTGGAAGGGGCTCGGATATTTCTGTTAAGAGAAACAGCAGAGTGTGGCCACAAGACCTCTAAATTGACGGGTGAAAACGAAAATCTGCGGAGCATCTAGTCTTTTCTGCTGATCTTCACCAAACCCAATTAGCTAAATACTTTTATCTTCATTTCACAGCCTATGAAACTCAGAAAATTAAATAACTTACTCCATGCCCAGTGATGAATAAATGGCAAAATCAGGATTCGTACCCAGATCCATCTGGAAAACCCGTGCACCTCCTATACCAGCAGCCTCATGGGAGCAGGGGCCCGTCGTGGTCACTTGCTGAGCCCAGAGCCTCCTCTCTCAAATGGGAGTACCTGACCTCACGGTAGACATGATGATCAAATGTGGAAGTGGATGTGAAGGCATTTTGACAACCCTAAAGCCACTTGGCCTGAACTACACACGTGAGGTCAAGGAGGTTAGCTCCAAGGAATCTGCATGTGCCTTCAGGGGCTAGAAAGTGGGCCACAATTTAGAATTGAAAGACAAGTTTCTGGGCACCTGGGTGGCTCAGTCAGTTAACTGTCTGATGATCTCAGGGTCCTGGGATTGAGCCCTGCATCAGGCTCCCTGCTCAGTGGGGAGTCTGCTTCTTCCTCTCTCACTCCCCCTGCTTGTGCTCTGTCTCTCTCAAATAAGTAAATAAAATCTTTAAAAAAAAAAATAAAAGGCAAGTTCCCCACAGAATGGGCACAGTGAGGGACAGTGTGAGAAGCTTCCATGTTTTCTTCCCACCTGCTGTGGATGTATCTCAGCATGAGGACTGGAGTCTGTGACTCAGAGTCCTTCTTGCCTTAGCTCCTGGGCTACGCAGCTCAGAAATAGCTGATATGACTGAGGTCTGAGGATGAGCCTTAGGGACAGTGATTTTTTTCCTTTCTGAGAAAGGGGGAAAGAGGGCCCTGTAATCTTCGGGAGAGGACAGTGGCAGTGGTGAAGGCCAATGGCACTACAAAGGCAGTGGGCAAAACCAGAAGGAGCCTCTTGCCCGCGAGAGCCAGGAATCGTGGTGGTCCAGGAGAGCAGACACCGGCATGAGGTCCTTCCGGGAGGAGCTGTGGAAGGAGTGAAAGTAGTGAAACATAGGAACTCTGCTAGGGACTCCCAAAAGGGGACCATTGAGACCCCACAGTGTCTGGGGCAAGGGCACAGGAAGGACTGAAGGGTCACCTTTGGATTGGACTCTCCAGCTTAACTATGCAGAAGAAATTCTACTCATTAAGGTTGGTTAGGACTCACCTGTAGGTTAATTTGTTGGGGAAACTGGACTTTTCTTTTTTACAGCACCAAGGTTCACTTTATGTCTACACTTCATGTCCTGGACATGAACGAGGTCAACCTGGACATGAACGAGGTTGTGAGGGTAGCAACCAGTTTGCATACAAGTATAGGACACCAAAATGAAACAGCACCTCCATCTTTTCAAAACAACAACCTTGCGCTAGCATAAAAACAGAATGCTGTGTATACATTCCAGATTACCCTCAAATATTTCTGGGTTTCTACCTGACATAAATCTTCAAATTGGCACTTTAAAACAACCCCTCTCTTTCCTTTAATGATTGGTTAAAATTCCTGGACTAGAGGAAAATTATGGTCAACTATCAATGGGCGTTTTTATCAGGCTTTTTTTTTTTTTAGATTTTATTTATTTGAGAGAGAGAGAGAGGGAACACTAGCAGGGGAAGGCAGAGAGAGAAGCAGACTCCCCACTGAGCAGGGAGCCCCAGGGGGGGCTCAACCCCTCAGGACCTGAGCCCAAGGCAGATGCTTAACCGACTAAGCCACCCAGGTGCCCTTTTCTTTTTCTCTTATTAACCTTATTTTGTTGTCTTTTCCTGTGTCTCCCTGACTGATACCAAGACTCCTTCGATGACATAACTTCCAGCTGATGGATGATCCTTTCTACTCTAGAAGGTTCATATATGTTGTCTGTGTTGGACTCAGCTGCCTCTGCCTTCATAACTCCCCTATATGTTCCCCAACTGACCAATATTGACCCATAGGTAGGGACATCTCTATATCCCTATTCCGCACGAATACATTACAGAAGATTAAACCTTCCACCTTCAACAACCTTAAGGATTTAAGGGTTAAAATTGTTCAGGGGGGAAATGATGAGGGAGCTAAAGGCTAGCTGAAGACAAAGCATAAGCTGACACACTGCAGCCTCCCCCACACTCCCCAGTCCTGGGTGGGGTATGTATGATAATCCTCCAGGAAGCTCCCAACTGTCTTAACGTTATTGCTTTGCTAGAGGGAAAAACAGCTTTAACTTGACAATGGTAAGGCCTCCGGTATCTTGTAGGTCCTCTTTAGCATATGAAAGTTCTTTTGAAAACCTCTCCTTACCTCTCCCAACCCCATAGTATATGATCAATTGTTCCTCACAACCCCAGTGTAGCTCTTTCTGCCCAGGGTCCTGTCGCCATGTTTTAATAAACCACCTTTTTCACCAAAAACAAAGTCAGTGCATATTCATTGAAGAAAATTAGGAAATGCAGACAAGTAAAAAGAAGGAAAAAATATCTACTATTCAATGACCCAGAAATAGCCCCATGGTGGAATTTCTTTTTTTTTTTCTTTTTTTATTGTTATGTTAATCACCATATATTACATCATTAGTTTTTGGTGCAGTGTTCCATGATTCATTGTTTGTTCATAACACCCAGTGCTCCATGCAGAACGTGCCCTCCTCAATACCCATCACCAGGATAACCCATCCCCCTCCCCCCTCCCCTCTAGAACCCTCAGTTTGTTTTTCAGAGTCCATCATCTCTCATGGTTCGTCTCCCCCTCTGACATACTCCCCTTTTCTTCCTCTCCTGTTATCTTCTTCTTTTTCTTTTTTCTTAAAATATGTTGCGTTATTTGTTTCAGAAGTACAGATCTGTGATTCAACAGTCTTGCACAATTCACAGCACTCACCGTAGCACATACCCTCCCCAATGTCTATCACCCAGCCACCCCATCCCTCCCACCCCCAACCACTCCAGTAACACTCAGTTTGTTTCCTGAGATTAAGAATGCCTCATATCAGTGAGGTCATGTGATACATGTCTTTCTCTGATTGACTTATTTCACTCAGCATAACACCCTCCAGTTCCATCCATGTCATTGCAAATGGCAAGATCTCATTCCTTTTGATGGCTGCATAATATTCCCATGGTGGAATTTCTTGTGGAATTATCCTTCCACATATTTTTCTACACACGTTTTCTAAAAATAAGATCGGTCTACTCCTGCTGATTTATTATGTGCTTTTTATTCACTTGGCTAGGTTTTTAAAAAAATACTGATAGTATTCATTTCCAACATAATTTTTGATGGTGAAATAGTATTCCATAGTATTGATGTAACTATTGGTTGAATATTTAGTTAGTTGACAATTGAATTCTATAATTTGGGGGGCATGTTTAAAATAGATCTAAAAATATAAAGAATAGCACAAAAATATCCATGTAAAAATTACATTTTGACTACTATAAAAAAGGATAATAAAAATTCTTGTAGCTCTTAAAAAAAAATGGGGCGCTTGGGTGGTGCAGTTGGTTAAGCATCCAACTCTTGGTTTCAGCTCAGGCCATGATCTCAGGGTCCAAGACTGAGCCCTACATCTGGCTCCACACTCAGCACAGAGTCTGCTTAAGACTCTCCCTCTCCCTCTGTCCCTCCCCACTGTGCTCTCTTTCTCTCCAAAATAAATAAATAAATCTTAATTTTTTTTTTTGTAGTTACATCTTTGTGCTTATCTCTGGTTACTAGAGGCCAGTTGAACCCAGACCTGGGTTCTGTCAGACTTAGGATAAATCCTTGGAAGGTAATTGCTGGCTCAAGTTGCATGCCCATTTCCTCCCAAATTTTTATTTTAGAAAAATATTCAAATATATAAAAAAAATCAAAGGAATAAAACAATAAACACCTAACCACCAAAATTCATTTCATCACATTTGCTTTATCTCTTTCCATAAATTTATGTTGAAAAATATTAAATAGTACAAACATCATGACATTTCGCCAAACTACTCCAGCTTACATCTCCTAAGAACAAAGTCATTAACCCCCTTAACCACAATGCCATTATCACACCCAAAAACTTTAACATTGATTCAAAAATGTTATCCAAATTTCCCCAACCATCTTCCAAATAAATATCTTGTTAGCGGTGCCCCCACTTCCAGGATTCAATGAAAAGCAATACCTTACCCTTGGTTGTCATGTTCCTTTAGTTCTCCTTTAATCTAGAATCATCCTTTTGCCTTTTATTTTCTTTCATGTTGTATTAGCCATCTATTGCTGTCTAATCAAATAATAAATTGCTGCATAACCACAAAACTTAGTGGTTGAAAACAACTCTAAACATTTATTAGCCTTTAGTTGCTGTGGGTTGGGAATTTGAGAAAGGCTCAGTTGTGCAGTTCTGATTTGGGGTCTGTCATGATGTAGTCAATAGTTCACCTGAGAATTCAGTTACCTGAAGGCTTGTTTGAGGCTGGGGGATCACTTCCAAGGTGGCTTACCCAAATGGCTGACCAGATGGTTCTAGCTGCTGGCAGGAGAGTTCCTCACCAACAGACCTCTCCACAGGAATATTTACGCATGTGTCCTTCTCAGGTCATGATGATTAGCTTCTTCCAGAGCAACTGATCCAGGAAGGTGCAAGGCAGAAGCCACAATGTCCTTTATGACCTAGCCTCAGAAGCCATACACAGTTTATTCTGCAAAACCCTAGTCAATGTGGGAAGGCACTATACAAGGGTGTGAGTACCAGAAGGCTAAGATCATTGTGGAGCCATCTTGGAAGATATATACCATACTTACCATTGACATTTTTTTAAAAGTCCAGGTCAGTTGTCTTGTAGGATGCCCAGGTTCCAGGTTCATCTGATTGTTTCCTACTAACTAGATGCAGATAATGCATATTTTCCACTGGATTATGCCAAGAGGTACTTCTTATCAGTTTGGTCTGTTATTGATCATGCTAAGTTTGGCCACTTAGTTCAGGTAGTCTGGTTCGCATACCAAGTTTTGGATTCACTATTACCACTGGGATGATAATAGTGGCCTGGGATGATTTCTCCAGAGAGAAACGGAAGGTTTTATTGCAGTTTTACACTACCAGTCTTTTAGCGACAACAGCTATGTGTGTGTGTGTGTGTGTGTGTGTGTGTCTGCATGTGTATGCACATTTGATGTTAATACTGATAGACATTCTGAACTGCAGAACGCAAATTCAATAGGGAGGAGGGAAAGGGCATGCAAAAGGATGAACTCATTGAGGACAGAAACTGTCTTATTCTTCTATGCGTTCTGATTGCCTTACACAACGTGGAACAAATAATAGGCATTTAACAAATAGGTGTTGGATAAATGAAAGAACAAACCAAAAAGGAAAGAAAGCCAAAAGAGTAGAGGGGCACTTTCTAATTTGTAAAAATGTAGAAACCAAAATACTACTTTCTGTCAAAATAAATGTGTAAGTCCCTGGGAATCTCCTGCCCTCCCAGTCACCTCTCGGGGTGGCCTTGGGGGCTTCTGGTCCTGTTGTCTTCAGGTTTTGTTGCCACAAGGCTCCTGACAGTCAAAATCTCCAGTCTCCTTGGTTCCTTAGAAAGCATGTTATATTCTAAACCAAACTTTTCTCTTTCTTACCATGTTGATAAACTGCTTGCATGACAACTTGAGCCTTGCTCATCCACTTAGTCATTCTAGGAAGGAAGTGAAGTCCGGAGGAATGATACTTTGCTGATGGTGAGGGCGGTGCTAAATGGAATTGCCTGAGCTAATCTGAGTGCATTTCTGTAGAGCCTCTCACATTCAATTCCATCTTCACTTTGTTTTCTCTCTGCCATATTGATTCATGAGCCCTCCCTCTGAGATGCATGAAACTGTGGTAATGTGTCCCCTGGTGAACAAATAATTAAAACAATGGGTCTCATTTTTTAACTGCCTTTTCTAATATAGCAAAAGGGCTTGGAAAAGCACTGGGCACCATGGAGGTAAATGCCCCCCTCTTCAAGCCTGCCTCAGTGAACACCCCATTTATCCAGCTAAG